CTCCCTCCCTCCCTCCCTCCCTCCCTCCCTCCCTCCCTCTCTCCTCCTGCACTCACACACACACAGAGTCATACTTTTTTGTGGATTTTTGTATAGCATACATGACAGGCCTCATGGTCACTCAGTCACTTTGGCACAGTCATGCTTTTCTTTGTGGAGTTCTGTATACTGAACATGACAGCATCCACACAGAGGCATCGACGTGCGCTAGTCCCTGCAGGCACACTTGCGGTCCATTGAAGCATGGTGTATGAGAGAGTGTGCCTCTTTCTCTGTCTCTCTCCATCCACCTCTACACACCCATCTTTCTACTTTTCCCCGCCATCTCTCTCTCTCTCTCTCTCACCACTTATGCACGCCGATCTTTCAGCTTTTACCCCGCAATGTATCTCCCTGCCTCTCTCTTTCTCTCTCTCTCTCACACACACACACACACACACACACAGTTGGCGGCACAGTCAGGCTTCTTTCGTGGAGACATCTGTAGCGAATATGACAACATACACATTCGCGCATAGCTCCCACTTATTCTGCACCTCTCTGTTCATGGTTTTCACATGTCTTTGGATTTGTTTTTTGGTACAGTGGTCCTGCTTTTGAACCTGGGCGGTGATACCTTGTTCATCACTCACGTGCATATAAACTATGGGCTGTGCGGAGGCAGGCAGAAGACTAGCCGGAGCGACTTATATCCCTACCCTACCCTAGAGCTAAGCCATGCGTGAGTAGACCCCGTCATGTACCTGATAGACCCCCCCAGCCCAGTATCATAGTTGTGTATATATGTGTGCCCAGAGGCTATGTATGTTTGTATGAGCACGTAGGATGTGTATATATTCACGAGCCATGTTTGTGTCTACCCGAAGGCTATATGCGCTCTGTGTAACTGTATAGTGAGATGTATATGCCCGAAGGCCAGATATGTGCAGTACTATGTGTTCGTTGACGAGATGACAGGCCAAGCTGGACAACAACCCCCCCAAAGTCCCAAGCCAGACTCGAACCCATGATCTATGACATGTGACCTGAAGACTCTACCATTTGAGCAATAATTGCAAACGGCACGTGTGTGTGCGCATTTCCAAACGGTCAACCCTTGGGTGGTGCGCAGGCAGTGTCTGTAATAGCTTACCATGCGTCAGCCCAAGGGGGTAACGCCCTTCCGGTGTCCATGTGCAAGTCTGTGGAGTTTTGAACCTGCAACCTCATACCACAATGCGCATTTCCAACCGGTGCTCTAACCACTGAGATACATCAACTGGACCCCAAATCAGAGCCCTAATCCTACCTGCATCCCTACTAAAGCCATGGAATATGGTCAACCCAGTCCAAGCAGATTTGAACCCACAACCTCGATGAGACAGCTCTTAACTCAAACCTACTGAGCTACTATAACACCTGGTCTGTTTATGCGCTGTTCTAGACTGGAGGACGATTACGTGGGGTGCCAAACTAGCACCAACCAATCGTTCGCGAGGGAGATTGGAGGCTGACAGAATCGGACCTGCAACCTCCCCCTTGCAACGCCGGAGTTCTACCCACTGAGCTGCCACGTACTTTCTTGCCAACTGGCTGTCTCGGAGCTAAGACACTACGCATGCCACAGGCACTGTCGTTGGGGCAATGGGAGTTGAACCCATGACCTCCTGAGTGCCGCTTGAGTGCCTTCCCAACTGAGCTACACCAACGGGGGAATGTTCGCCTCAAAATTCCCTCATCGGTCCCAATTCTTAAGTGTCCTCTCTATCAGTTCCTGTACTCCTATCAGCTATTGTAGTTGTCGGCTATTCTTGAAGCTCTAGAGTAACGAGGCCATCCCTGATGGGGCTCTGTCTCTTTGACTGAGAACCTTTGTGGCTAAACGCTGTCCTGCTTTTTTTAACCCTAAACCCTCCGTCCTACCTAACCAAAAGGTCGTCAGGCCAAGGCGAGAGCCTCTCTTGTATCGCGGGAAGTTGAAGGGGTGGTCGTTGTGTGATGGTTATGGGTTATGTTCCTGGTGGTCCCGCTGATCCCCCAATGCAAGTCTGAGGGTATCGCTCATTATGGTCCCCAGTTTGCCGCTGCCCAGCAAATCCTTGGTGAATTTGTCGAGGATGTCCTGTTTCTTGGTGGGGTCATCGTTGGTGTGCTTTCTTGCTTTGTGCCAGTCTGAATGGTACTCTGCTAGCAGGGTCTGGATAAGGCCTTCCCATGCCTCAGCCGGCGGCGTTGTTTGTGCGGCAGCAATTGTCTGCTTGCAGTGTCTCTTCCAGATTGCGCACGTTGTTAGAGGGTGGAGTCTTCGATAGAGCGTGCCACTTCTCCTGCATGTGTGGTTCTTTGAGGCCGGTGAGTGTGGCTGCCTGGTTGACTGGCAAGGGGGTATATGTAGCCGCTTCTCAAAGGTTGGCTGTTCTGGTCCAAAGTTGAACTGCGCGGGCAGGTGAGTAAGCAGCCTGTTAGGTTCTCTGGGGTGCCCTCCTCGCAGAGGGCGCAGATTTCGTCAAAGTCTGTCCAAGCATCTGCCGATCTACATTTGCTGAGCCACTGGTTTGACCGACAGTGCGTGGTAGTAGATTAGCCACTGCACGCTTCTCGCTCTTGTGTTCCAGATGGACAATGACACCTGCCAGGATATTTTGGTCTGGCTCCCCAGACCCCCGGTGAGGTGCTTGTCCCACCGCTGCATGAGGGTTTGCTGTGTGTTGGCTGACCTTCTTCTCAGCCTGTGTAGTCCAAGATGCTGGTCCGGTACACCACTCTTATTGTGGCGGTAGTCGTCTTCCATGCCCATTCTGCCAGGTCAAACTCTAAGTCCTGTATGCTGGTCGCGGGTTTGTAGATTCTGTGGCGGTCGTCCTCCACCACTTGGACTCTCCTGAGGAGATGGGGTTTGGCTGAGACCCGCACCCGAATGACCTTGGCGACCGTGCTAGCTGTCTGGCCCAGTTTTTCTATGTCATGCATAGTCCACAGTATCCACTCTTCCGAGGGGCCCACTCTTTTGACATAGGAAAGCGCTTCGGTCGGGGTGTCCTCCCAAGTCCATGTTGCCCAATCTCCCACCTTCCATTCAGTCGGATGATGTAGCAGCACCAGCCAGTCTTGCGGGATTGATATCAGTATAGCGTTTAGGTTTGCCTGCAGGTTGTGACAACCCTTGAGTGTCTCCCTTAGCTGTGTGTGTGTCTTCCATCTGTTGTGTTGCTGGTTCCAGACGTGTTTGATTTGCCATAACTCCATGTTCCAGCCAAGTAATCCATTGGCTGTCCAGCGCCGTGAGGTCCAGGGTTTGTCCGCCTGGTGCTAAACTTATTCTGTTTTTCTTTACTGTTTAGAGGGTGTTGAGTTTTGGACTGCGCGTATAATCTCTGTTTGCCTAGCATAGTGGTAGGACCCCTTTGCCTGTAGCTCAAATCCTGCTATCCCAACAGTCACAGTATCACCTTTTCGTTTGTGGAGTTGCGTTAGTGAATAGAGAACGCAAACGAACACGTGGACACACACATAAGGCACGCAATGTTGTGTGTCTGTGTGGTGATGGAGGTGGGGGAGACCTTGTGACCAGTTTGGAGATGCACAGCAATGTTCTCCTCTTTTTCTTTTTTTTGTGTGTGAACAACCTTCACTTGATTTCACTTACATCCAGCAATTTGTCTTCTGAAAAGCTTTGCATGACTCCTTGTTGATGGTTCTGTGCAGGGTTTCTTCCAGGTGGGCTTTGTGACGGGTCTGAAGTTGCATGGCGATGTTGTTCTCGGCTCCATTGTCATCACAAATCTTCCTACTATTTCACTTAAAGCCGGCAACAACAGTGATGCTTCTGCTGGTTCACAATCGGAACAAGAAGGGAAGATTGACCAGGGAAAGGCGGTGGCAGCACACAGACTGTTTCATCAACGCCAATCATCACTTCTTCTGTTCGTCGGTGTGCTGTCCGCATCGGAACACGTGGAGGAGCGGATGGCTGTACGACAAACATGGATGCAGTACCCAGCACTAAAGCGAGGACAGGTCATGGTGCGCTTCTTTGTAGGATTGGTACGTTTCTTACTCCTCCGTCAGTCTGGGGTTCCCCCAGTGCAGCACCCTGTGTCAAAATCTGACTACTTAATTTACAAAACAGAAAACCTCTGTCACAGCCAAGACAAAGAATAGGAAGGAGGAGGGGAGAAGGAGACAGAAATAGAAGAAGATGAATAAGACACAGATGAAGAAGAAAGAAGAAAGAAGGAAAAGAGGAAAGAAGAAGAAGAAGAAGAAGAAGAAGAAGAAGAAGAAGAAGAAGAAGAAGAAGAAGAAGAAGGAAGAAGGAAAAGAGGAAAGAAGAAGAAGAAGAAGAAGAAGAAGAAGAAGAAGAAGAAGAGGAAGAAGAAGAAGAAGAAGAAGAAGAAGAAGAAACAAGGCAAAGAAGAAGAAGAAGAAGAAGAAGAAGAAGAAGAAGAAGAAGAAGAAGAAGAAAGGTTTTTAGCGCAAATAAATGCATGAATATGTTTAGCTGATATCCAGTGTTCTTTTTTTTTTCCTTTTTTTTGTCCTGTAAAGCAGCTTTGGTCTACCAGGGGGAGTGGTACAAGCAGCACCCCCTAGTAGGCCTACTGCTGGTCGCTCCAGTCTATTGGCGGGGAGCAACACCTACTGCAGGGCACCAGAGCCATTATGGGGTTTTGGCTGATGCAAACTGTGTATGGCTTCGGTGCCTCTTGACCCCACTTCTGGGTGCCTGGGCGACGTCTTTCGGGCCAGCATCCGTCAGTCCTAGCACCATTCATCCATTGGTCCTAACACTTCAGCTGTCCCCGTACCATTACAGATCAACTATCGACAGACCATGTGGGGTAAAAGGTCGGGGAAGTTTGAGAGGGAGTGCATGGGGAGTGAACCAGCTAGCCGAGTCCATGCAAAGAAGACAAGGGAGTAGTCTCTAACAAGTGATATCCCCTCCTGGTCCTCCACCTGGCCCCCTTCCCAAAACGCCTCTGCTATCCAACCCCTTTGTTCCCCACCCAGCCAGTCCAAACAGAATTGTTTAATAGTTTTCTTAATTTCCATTTGTGTCTGTAATACTGCAAGATGCTCTTTTACCTTATCCCATTGTGCCATGAGTTCCGGTTCAGTTGCACAAGCATTTTCTGTTTTTCCGGATTTAGTTGGGCAAGTTCAGCTCAGAAAAAAGGTAAGAAACCTAAGGGGAAAAGAAAGAGGTGTGAGATCAATGAATGATAGATCAACAAAAGTCGATGTATGATGTTGTTTAGTGGCAGCACGCCCTGGCCTGGGGAACTGTGATGAGATCAACCTATGGGGAACTGTGGCGAGATCAACCTATGGGGAAATGTGGCGAGATCAACAATGAATGATAGATCAACAAAAGTCGAGGTAAGGCTGTGCATTCTCTGTGGAAAAAAATAACAACAACAATCATTAAGTCCTCGCCACAGATTATGCGGATCAATGAATGCTAGATCAACAAAAGTCGATGTATGATGTTGTTTAGTGGCAACACGCCCTGGCCTGGCCTCTGAGTGTGATGCCAAGGGGGTAGGCGCAAGGAAAGAATTAGCCACCAAAAGTAGTGCATCAGGGCACATTTTCAGCCAGCTTTCCATTCAAAAAGTTTTGGCAACCAGGAACAAGCGAGTAGAGCTATTTTTAGCGCCGGAGGAGGAGAGATGGGGTGCAGCCATAGCTAAGGAGATGAAACGGTTTCACCCAGTTGACTTGACATTTGCAGACACAGAGATTTGATCCCTAGACCTGTGCCCGAGCCCTGTACATTGACCCTGTGTGCTGAGTGAGATTCGATCCCTAGACCTACCCTGTACCCTGTACATAGACCCAGTGATCTGTGTGGGACTCAATCCCGTGACCTGTACTACCCCCTAGGCTAGTCTGTTGGTCGGATAGGAGCACTCGATCCCAAGGTCTGTAGATTAGGAGTTAGGTCTGTTACCGATAGGCTCCAGGAGTTAGGTCTGTTACCGCTAGGCTCCAGGAGTTAGGTCTATAGGCTTAGGAAGGTCTGTTCTAGAAGTCTCTATCTGAGTCTACTGAGGTCTAGAGTCTGTCTGTAAGTCTGTAGGCTTTAGAAGGTCGTAGGTCCCTGTAGGCCAGTCCAGTCAGCAAGTACCAGTGGTAGGGGCTGCACGTGGGGAAGATTCTGGACCGCGCGGTGGGTTCCACGCGTCTTGGCCCAGAAGGCCAAATGTCTGGAAGCTTCCCTGCCCACACGTTTTGAGGCAGGCCCGGGTACCTCCGAAGAGGTATAAATAAAGAGGCAGCGTCCAGCCATTCATTCATTCGCCTGTGAGCCATGCGGAAGAGCTGCCATGGTGTCTTGTGCGTGGAGGTCTGCGTGCCCAGAGCGGAAGTGGGCAGTGAGGAAGACGACGGCGGCCGTAGCTAGGAGGAGGACGGCGGTCATAGCCGCCCAGCTGTTGGTGCAGACAGAGTGTAGACAATGTGTGTGTCTGTGTAGCGTGGACATTCAGGGTGATCCTCGTACATGCGTGCATGAGGGAGAGTGAGGCTGGTGGTGGAGAGTGTTCGGCGGCCATAGCCGCAAGTTGTACAATTGTTCTGAACAGAGTGTAAGTGCAGGTTCGTTGTTGATTATTGAGTTGACGAGTTTGGTTTGCCATCAGTTCTCATGTATGCATGCTGTAAACAAGTCTGAAGTCGAGTCTGATTGCAGAGAAGTTGCAAAGAGGATCATTTTTCTTGTTGTTTGTTGCATGTTGCTCACACACATGGTTAACAGGGTTGAACCACTAGTACCTTTCCCATACATCGGCCGCGAGAGATGGTTAATGTATGCATATATTTTCAGGTCCCTTTATATTCCGACTGTTTTCAGATGGGTATGGGAGTCTCAGACCGATCTTGGGTGCTTGGATGGAGGGACCTGAAATGGGTTTCGAAAGGCTCAACCATTTTAGGTCATGTCACGGTTTCAGACAGGTGTTGGGTGCTTGGGTGGGGGGACCTGAAAGGGGTTGTTTCAGCTCCAGCCACTTCATATCATTTCAACGGTTTCAAGTCTCCTCACCTGAAACTGCTGAAATGGCGTGAAGTGGATGAACCTTCTGAAAGCGGTTTYTGCTGCCCCCATCCAAGCATCAGAGATGGGTGATTCTGGAACCGCTTTCAGAAGCTTCAACCACGTCAAGTCATTTCAGCGGTTTCAGATCGATGATTAATGCTTGGGTGGGGGCAGCTGAAACCGGTTTCAGAAGGTTCAACCCCTTTATGTCATTTCAACAGTTCAGACCGATGTTTGATGCTTAGATGGCAATTTAAAAAAATCAAAACAGGTGGAAAATTCCAAAGAAATTATAAAACAAATACAAAAAAAATGAAAGACCAGGTTTCAGAGGCCCCTCACCTGTGAAAATCTCCACATCCAAACATGAAATTACCTCTTTTTCATATGTGAAATGCACTTCATTTGTTTCAGATCTGAAAATTCGAGGGCCCGTTGACCACTTTGTGTCGGCTGAGGGGGAAAATAGAGTCGAAGAGTTTTCTGTAACCTAGCCGGGTGGGAGTGTGAGGCCTGGGAGAGCTCGACAGGGAATAAGACAGTGTTGGATAGTTTTAGAGAGTTTTGTTTGGGAGTCTCGGGGTTTTGAGCATTAAAAACGAGGTCAGTAGTCATTCATAGCTCCCCACGAATAGACTGGAGCATTTGTCTTCCCCCCTCCAAAAAAAAACAAAAAAAATAGTAGAATGAATTTGTACGCTTTTGTAGTGTCCCATTCGTTCATCATTGTTGCGCCTTGTTAACTACCGCAACTTTCGGAGGTACTGGTGGTCTAACCATGCAAAATACTTTGGTAGCCTGAGGGTTTTCTTATAAACGGCATGACAAATTCTCTGAAAATTCAGGCCTCCGTTACCCTTCTGTTGTTGCTCAGAACCCTGCGGGGCGCCGTTTCATATACGTTTCTCTCCGCCCCATCGACTATTTTGGTGTGAATAATCAGTTCCAGTTTGGTCGAATTTTCAATCAAGCATGAGATGCTTCCAACCAAAGTGTTTGTAAGTGATGGTTGCTAGAGTTCATTGAAGTTTGGCATAATCCCAATAGCCCCAGAGACGACCATTAAAAATTTGACATTTTTGACTATTGTGATCAACCATGAAATCAAATGGAGGTAAGGAAAATAAAAAAAGAAAGAAATGCAAAGATAGGAAGTAACACAGGGGATGCTGAGACCCATGCTCAACCTACAGAACCAGGTGGAATCACACTGGATGCGGAACTTGAATATCAACAAAGATAATTTGTGCAACATTAAATGGTTCAGAGCCTCCACGGCCTGCGAAAGTTGCTTCTTTACAATGGCAGGTCATAACACAGGTGTCTCCGAATGAACGACTGGCTGATTGATCTTACCGCCTTAGAACAAAAGGGATTGGCTTTGCCCCACCTTCCCAGACCGCACGCACCCAGAGACCATTGAACACATCTTCCTCAGTGCCCGGGCTTAGTCTGGCTCTGGAGATGGCTGGACCAGATCTAGGGCCAGCTTGATGCCTCTACTAGCTGGGCATGGGATTGGAAGGCACTTTTGTGTGAATGCTGGCTCTCGGAACAAGCCACGGACTTTACTCGGAATATGTTCAAAATCGGTTGCAGAGCCATCCTCTGGGCCCCCTGGTGGCAGCGTTGCACATACCAAATGGAAGGGGTGCAACTGGAAGGGACCGAGTTTACAGAATCCATTAAACTGGAAATACAAGCGGATGAATTTTCACGCCGCCGCGCGGACTATCGCCCCGTGCCTCTGTATCTCGCCTATCGCTCGGAAGCGCGCGACGTCGGGAGGGGCGGATACGTCGCGATGTTCAACGCCTAGGCGCCTTGGGCAGCTGGAAACGAAATATAGAGATTCGCCAGTCTCGAACAGGGCTGTCAGCGGGATCGTTCCCGTCGACCAACGAGAGGTTTAGCGTGAGGGTCTCCATCAAGGGCCCACGTTGATCGCATCAACCAAGAAAGCTTATCGAGCTTATCGAGCCGTCCACTTTTGGGGAAC